ATTTGAAAATTAGGGATATCAAATTTATGATAAAAATTTTAAAGAGATCAAAATTGCACATTCATAAAACTATGAGAACCAAAAGTGAACTTAGGGTTAGTTTGTTTAAAGTTTTAAAAAAATATTAAAAATAATTTTTTCTAACAAACGGATAAAATTTACTTCTTAAAAAAAACAAAAAGAAATACTTATTTTAAAAATGAACAATTTAAATAAATATACTGGTTCATCTCAACCATTAAAGCTATATCCAATTCTCGATCCAACTAAATCAAGTTTCACTATCTTATCAAAGATATAAATATTCTTTACCAAGTTACTTCTTATTCAATTCTAAGTATTATTAGTCTTGTCTCTTCAAGCAACTACTTAAGTATTCTTTTTACACAAAGTAAGTAGAGTGGCATGTTAGTTTTGGCTGCTCTCTTTTTCTTTCTGTTAGTTATCTTTTCATGTAACCAAAGTCTAATAATAGCCCTAGCGCTAACATACAAAACAGGTCACAGAAAAGGGCAAAAGAGACGAAAGCCAAAGCATTGACTGAAGAGGGGGGCAAAGAGAGATTCGCCTTTGACTCCTTCTCTGCCTACTGACTGCTACGATACACTGGAACTGGTATAAACTGTATAAACCCCTGTTGTTGAGCGCAGTTGGTGTATTTGGAATCGTACTTTCCGCGTTTATACACTTCTTTGAGTGTTTATACGCGTCAGCATATCAATTTGATAAAGGGCGTGAGCACTCCACTCAAGTATTTGGAAGTTCTAGGCTTCAATACCGAATATTCTTTTATCAAAAAGTCTCTCTAAACTCAAACAACAAGTATTCTTTTTCCAAACAAGTCTCTCCAAACTCAAACCCAATAACTCAAAGTTATAAAAGGCTTACAAAGTTGTTTCGTCTTTCTTTCAATACATGATATAACAAGTTAAGTACAAAGATTATTACAGAAAGAATGAAGAAATAATATTTTGTCTTAGATTGTCGTCACTTCTTTCTAAACTTCAAATTTTCTTTTATAGAGTTTCAGTGAAGATGATTGTTGCAAATTCTTGAGCTTCTCTCTCATGGCTTGCTCCATTTGTCTTCACGATTTAATTCTTGAGGATAGAAGTGTCTGTTGGTATAATAAATATTTATGTTAAATACTTTTACCAAATTGTCACTTCTTATCTGATCAAAGAAGCTACTTATCACCTTTTGGATACTAAGCGGGTAGAGCCATGCGTGTGTGAGGACATTGCAATGATGAACCAACTTTTGATTACATTTTTCCATGTTTATAGGAATCTGCTTGTCCTTTTCTGACACAAAACATTTATTTCTTTCCTTTTTGTAGAACATTGGTACCAATGAAGTATTTTTAAATTTAATTTATTAAGGAAACATTCAGACATAATCAATTTCTTGTTTAGAGATCTTAAATAATAAAAAATTTAATGCATATCTCTTTTTATGACCAAGGATTCATCTTAGTCAGTAATAGAGTTGTCTTAGTACAACTTTTGACTTATACAAGGATTCATCGTCTTACTAACGGATTGTGTCTTAGAAGGTTTGTCTTAGTCATTTTGAAAACTCTATATTGTTGATCAAGAACTTCTTTATTTGTTAACATCAAAACTTTAAATCGGGGAAATCTAAGATTGTCTTTTGACCTAACATAATTTATGAATTTATGATGTAAGCTATATTTTCTACCAATGGTGATAAATAATTGTAAAAATGGTATTTTAGATTCATCATAAATCATGAGAAAATTATGTGTACTTAATTATGTTGGATATGACCTCTGTGAAATATATATTTAAAGAAGGATTACTAATTGAAAAAAATATCAGTCCTTTTTTTTAGACAATCAAACAGGGATATTTAATTCAAAAATAATACTTAAGAGCTGAATTTTGGATATTTGAATTTATATGATACAATATATAAGTATGCCTAAAAAGTTTTGTGTGTTAAAGTTGATTTAATATTTTGCTAATTTTTATGCATGTAATCCGGTATATGTAAAATTATAAAATTTGATTTGACTAATTACCTTTAGAGCATTATTTGATTATTTACAACACATGATTGATTTATTATGCCCTAGAGGGAGACCTATAGATATTATTATAAATTGTTCAATTTTCATTATTTAACTTCATTAAATTAGCAAGTTTGAAACTTAATGTGTTGTTGATTAAATTGGAGACCAGGAGGAATGTGGTCCTCGAGTTGTTTGTGTGTTGGGAACTCGAAAGTGTATGAATGAGTATTGGAAAGAATTTGGGTTTAGGTCTTCGTATGATACTTACATGCTAGGGTAAATAAGGGAACTATGGTATAAAACTTATGAATTAAGATAAATTTAATAAAAGAAATTGCAAGTGAAAGTTAAAGTTGAGAGGGTGAGAATTTCATAAAGCAATATGACATTATAAGTTAAATGGTTGGAACAATGCTCCATAATTGAGACCTATGATGAATTGTTGATATGCATTAGTACAAATATGTAATTGATTATCATGAATGGTTATAAAACATCGCGGATGTGATGACGTTGAGAGAAAATAATGGAAAATTTCATTCACCTTTATTCAAAGAGTACAATGGATATAGTGAAGTTTATTCATATTGCACTTGATGTCCTATTGTGGAAAATAAAAAAAGCAACTGCGCAATCATATTCATGTACAAACCCTAGTGGGGGAGACGAATTATGGGTGGGGCTAAGAGGCATGTATGTTATAGGCGTAGATTGAAGTTATGTACTTTGATTTATTGATTTTGGGAGATGAAATTGTGGACTTCTACTCAATTTTGCATGACCTTTAACTACCCTTGTGTACCTTTGAAGAATACAACTTTGCCCAAATCTTAAAAAGAATGTCATATGTGTGACGATGTCCTGAAAGGAGGACGTGAACGACCATAAAAGGTACCTGAGGTATACTCATTGGATTTGAGTCCTTGAGGATAGTAAAGTGCCAAGTTGTGGAGACTCGGTGAGGTTGGAGAATTAACGTATGCCAACTTGGCAAATCCCAACCAATGTGAGGCATAACCATGATTGGTGAGATCATCTATGTCATGTACCAAGGTAGTAGAACATGTGCTCTCAATTGTCATCCATACAGAAATTTGTAAGACCACTAGGTTTTAGTGGCATGGTGGGTCTAATCAATGAGGTTTCTACTATATTAAGTTGCACATTAACATTATTGAGTGACAATACTAGAAAACCACAATATAGTAATATATAAGATTGTTGTGGAACTTTCAATTTCATTTTGTGTGTGATATAGTCAAGGATAGAAAAAATTCACTCCATAATTTCATTTTTTCAAAGGATGATGGAGTGTAGCACACTAACTTTTTAAGGTATTCAACAATTTGATGGTGATACAAGATGGAGATCTGTTGTTGATGAAGAAATTAATAAAGACCTTTTAAAGGGATCAATTTAGGTGTTTAGAGGTTGGAGTATAACACTATTGCATATATTGTGTACAAAGATACCTACTCTAAATTTTAAACTCTTTATTATTTATTTATTTGATATTTTGTAGAATAGTACTCAATATTTTACATTTATCTTTACTAAGCGTGTTTATTTCGAATTTCCTTAAACGAACACTAAAATATGTGTACGAACCACGTAACTACACTATAATAAATGGGTACGAGATAACGCAACCAAAATACGCCAAGCTACTTCATGATTTCCATATCAATGCTTCCCGATCCAACCCATAAACTCCATTGCCTGATAACTACCGATGAAATACAATTTTCTTTTTTATTCCTTTTGATACATATTAATGATGTTTTATGTAATATATATTCATGTTGAAGTACCACCAGTTCACCATCCCTCTTTTAATAATTAAAAGGTCACAATCGATGAAGATTAAAATTTTCAAATATACATTGTATGTTTGAAATTGAACTGAAATTGCTTTATTCTTTACACGATGCAATGAATTTCTTATATTTTGATTACAAGGAATGGGGGAAAATCGTAGTTTAAGATAAGAAGAAAAGGCACGTATTTTACTTTTTTTTATACCTGGAACTAGGATATCCCAATTGATATTAATTTAGAGACTAATTCATTCGAGATGTAAATATCACTAAAGAAGACATTTTCTCTTTGGATAAAGTCTTTTCCATGCACTAAAATAAATATCCAGGCATACTATATATAAATTTATAACCATTCAAATGGTAGACAATCATAGTGGCATGCAATTTAAGAAAATAAATTATAACTAGAAATTTAAGGGATCTTTCGGTGCATTTGTTAAGGGAAAAAAATTGTTTATTTTAATTTACACATTTGATGAGGTGTTAGAATAAAAAATATTTAGAAAATAATATTTTTTTTAATAAAATTTAACAAAATTTTAACAAAAAAAAATTTAAATGGGTAAAATATCATATAATGAAATATGTCAAGGATGAAATTATAATTTTTAACGTAAGATAGGAAGATAATATAATATTCATATCACTTGAAGGATAGGAGTGTAATTTATTCCAAAAAAAAATATTCATGACATGACACAAAATATGTAAAATATAATTATAAAAATTCTATGATATATTTGGTTGAGTTTTGCGGGGGGAAAATAGGGAACAAAATGATTAATAATGTATTTTCTTCTATTTAGTTAAAAAAGAACGAGAAAAAAATTTGTTTTAAATTAGAGACAACCAAAATCAAACTACAATAGGAAGATGAACAATGAAACAATAGAGGAAGACATGCTGCAGAAGAATCTAAAGTAAAATACTAAAAATGGTCAATAAAAGCATTCCTTGTGTATGTATTTTTAATCGAAAATATGTATGAGGTTTGAAATGAACATTTTATTAGTCGATTTTAATTTTGTTGCTAACAGTTAGGTTTGGTTTCAGATCACTACCTGCCAACCATTGTTAGCACTTAGCAATAACTTCTTTTACCGTCATTAGAGACAACCAAAACCAAACTACAATAGGAAGATGAATAAAGGAAAAATAGAATTTCCATATATTAAAATGAACTTAAACTGATTCAAATAGAGTTTGCCTCACTTCCTTCCCTTGATCAAAACACAGTTTGAAGGCACTTTGCTGAGATGGTTTTTACTTTATGGACTAGAACAGTCATTTACAACTTAGGAATGAGATAAAACTGTGGCACAAGATACTAAGTTGTCAAAAGGGTAATTTATTCAACCATGTCCAACATTACTTGATTAATTAAGGGCCTATTTGAGAAGAAGGCTTCTAAATTCCCTCCCACAAGTTCACACATATCCATATTAGATTTGTCAGTTAAAGCAGCACAGTGTGGAGACAAAACCACATTATTCATTTGAAAGAGCTCTTTGGGAACATGAGGTTCATTCTCAAACACATCCAAACCAGCACCTCCAATTTTCCCTTCCATCAAACACTTAACCAATTCCTTTTCATCAATAAGACCCCCTCTTCCAACATTCACAATAAACCCTCCTTTTCCTAATGCCGAAATGACTTCCCTGTTAATTATGTGCTTTGTTTGCTCATTTAATGCACAACAAACCACAAGAGCATCGCACGTAGTTGCAAGATCAACAACACTAGAATAGAAAGGATACGAAACATTAGCTTTTTTATGCTTAGAGTTGTATGAGATAATGCAACCAAAAGACTCGAGCCTCTTAGCCACTTCCATGCCAATGCTTCCCAATCCAACAATCCCAATTCGCTTACCTGATAACTAAAACACCAACCCTCTCTTCCTTAAATGAAGGCCAATAAATACTACTAATCATACATTTTTTTTTTAAACATTGCGATTGTTTAATGCATTACAAGGGTATAGTGTACCTATTTGCTCTGATTATGACTGAGAAAAAAAGAAAGGAAAAAAACTTCTTGGTTTACGGGAGAAGAACGTGCATTTTCCCTATTGTCACTTTAGATAAAATACATGGAACTTTATAAACTAAACCTCAAAACATAAATTCACTTTAAAATTAGTAGTAATACTAATAAGGTCACATCAAATATACAAAGTGAATTAGAATTTCAGCCAGGAACTGCAAAATCATAGTTTGGAGAATAATTGCCTACACCATGATTTGAGTCTGTAATGAAATATTTTTGTCATGAAATTCTAGCCACGATTATATTTTCTTTGACGACCTTCGTTCATGTTACTTTGCGTATGCCTTTCTTAATAGAGTAAATATCAAATCTCAGAATTAATCATTAGGTACCATTTTTTTTTTCATTTTGAAAATTCGAGCCAGCGTTTCCGCGACAGTAGTTAATAAAACATTGAAAATAAATAAAATTATAATTAATATTGAGAAAAATATTCATAACACACCTTCTAAACCAATTATATTGATTTTAAATATCATATCACTAAATACTACAACACTTAAGTGTAGTGATGAGTTATAATTTAATGTCAACAAATATTAAATCAATTATAAAAAAAAAATATCTACTTTTAAAATTACATAGACTAAATATCATTATTTAAAATAAGAGACCAAAATTACGATCTAAAAAAATAAGAAGATAATATATATAATTTAGCTAAAAAACACAATAGGCATAAACAAAAAGTAAAAAAAAAATTAATTGTAAAAACGAAGAAGGTAAAAGTAGAAGTGAAAGTATAATTATAAATTTTTCACCCATACAAACACGAAAATGGATTAAGTGACTCTAGAGATTTAAAGTCATCGTGACTTTTTCATTCTTAACTATTAGATAAATGTTTTTCTTATAGATTTTTGTTAAATGTCCTAAAATATCATAAAATAATTAAGACACTCTAGTGAAATATAAAAACTATAAATAAAAAGAATTTTATTTTACATGCTTAAAATATTTTTTCCTATAATATACTTATTTTTCATTTTTTGTTCCTATAATTTTTTTGGTCTCTATGTTATTTTCTTTACTATTTTTGCATGGCATGTCCTTTAAAAGGATAGAATTTCAAGTGAATTTTTAAATAGATACAATTTCAAGTGAATTTTAGTTATTTTATGTTTGACATATGTATAAACATCATAAAAGTAACGGCAGAAATAATAAAAAATAAATAAATAAAAAGACCTAAAAACAAAAAACTCATATATTACAAAGACAAAAAATATTTAAGTCTAAAAAATAAAATTTATTTTATTTTAAATTTTTATATTTTATTGAAGTAATTTATTCATTTGAAAAAGTTTGTCATAATGTGAAAGAGAATTATGAATGTAATGAATGAAAATGGAGAAAGTGAGGTTGATTTTGATTCTCTAAAGTTGCTGTATCCGTTTCGCATAGCATAGTAGAAACTAGAAAGCATAAAATGTAAAAAAAGAAAAGAAAATGCAAACCTTGGAGGCGAAAGTGAAAACCTCCGATGGCGGATTCGCGTGATTCGGCGTCCTCAAATATCGATCCGCCGCGGAGATATTCCTGGTGACGTCGAGGAGGAGAGCGACAGCGGCGTCGGCCACATCCTGGGAGAAGATCCCTCCGGCGGCGGCGACCTGGATTCCCCGGCGGCGACACTCGCGGAGGTCAATGTGTTCGGTTCCGGCGCTGGTGGTGAGGAGAAGGCGGAGCGAGGGGAGGAGGCGGAGAACTTGGGCGGAGACGGAGTAATTGGCGCTGCAGAGAAGGGCGCGGATTGAGGAAGGGTGGTGGAGACGCAGGAAGTGTTGAAGAGAGTGGTTGGGGTTTGGGCTTAGGAAATGAAACTTGTGAGAGTAGAGTGGTTCAAGGGTTGCGAAGCACATTAGGGGACCCAGAACAAGCACTTTTGGAACCGCTTCTTCTGCCATCCACCCAAACTCACTATTTTCATTATCTTCTACTATCTACATCTACACACAAAAATATAACTTTATTTATTAAAAAAAGGCTTTTCCTTTGGTGCAAGTTTATTTTAGGGGTACCAAAACCCTTTGTGACTATGACCACACAATAGATGACATGTGGCTATTTTGTCAGCACTTGTTTTTTTTAACAATATTTTAATATTTACTATTTAACCCTCATTAATTGTATCTTTTTAAATAATAGTCCATGTTTATTTAAAGGTAACATCTCTCATACACCACTTTAACAAGTGGTGCATGGTAAACCATTAGTTTTGACCATAAGATTAATCTAAATTAATAACTTATAATACTACTGAAATTTTTTTTTTTAAATTACTCAAAAATTAAAAAATGAGGAACTGGAGGAACTACTACACACGTCCGGAACGGGCTGTTCTGAATTCAGAACGGGCCGTTCCAGATGAAAAAAAACGAATGAAAAATGGACCAGAACGGCCCGTTCCGAAGACATGACTCATTAAAACAGAACGACCTGTTCTGAATTCGGAACGGGTCGTTCTGACTATATATTTGTCAAGATTTTGTTTAAGCAAAATATTTTTTTTTTCATTCTACTAAATTATATTTAAAATTTAAGTATAGTTTTTCAATTGATAATGTTTTTCTATTAGAATTAGAGGTTTACATTAATTATATGCGTAAAACCCATTGAGCTTAAAGCCCAAAAGCCCAAGTAAAGCCCAAATCTAAGCCTAATAAGCTTAAAGCCCAAAAGTCCAAGTAAAGAGAACCTAGGCCCACCAAACCCATTGAGCTCACTAAGCTCAGAAGCAAAGAAAAGCCCAAAGGTTTATGAAGCCCAAAACTAAGCCCAATAACCTTAAAGTCCAAAAGCCCAAGTAAAGACAACCCTAGGCCCACCAAACCCATTGAGCTCACTAAGCTCAAAAGTAAAAAAAAAACCCAAAGGTCCATGAAGCTTAAAACTAAGCTCAATAAACTTAAAATCCAAAAAAGTCCAAGTAAAGAGAATCTTAGACCCACCAAACCAATTGGGCTCACTAAGCTCATAAGCAAAGAAAAATCCAAAGGCCCATGAAGCCCAAAACTAAGCCCAATAAGCTTAAAGCCCAAAAGCCCAAGTAAAGAGAACCCTAGGCCCACCAAACTCATTGAGCTCACTAAACTCAGAAGCAAAGAAAAGCCCAAAGGCCCATGAAGCCCAAACCATACGACTTTCTTCGTAATCAAAACTAGCATTGAAACATAAACCAAAACAAAAAGACAAAATCCAATCAAAACTCAAGATATTCATGGTTGACACTGACACAGCACCAATGAGCCAAATAACCAAAATGGGCATGAATGAATCGAAGAAAATAGCTAAAAGCCATACCAAAAGAGGAACTTGTAACAGGAGCAGCACCCTGCAATTTTATATTTTATACGACTTTCTTCGTAATCAAAACTAGCATTGAAACATAAACCAAAACAAAAAGACAAAATCCAATCAAAACTCAAGATATTCATGGTTGACACTGACACAGCACCAATGAGCCAAATAACCAAAATGGGCATGAATGAATCGAAGAAAATAGCTAAAAGCCATACCAAAAGAGGAACTTGTAACAGGAGCAGCACCCTGCAATTTTATATTTTTTTATCACCAAGTTGCTTTTTTCTGAAGATCACAATGTGGGAAGAAACTCAAAATTCTTGAATCTTTGGCTTAATTTCTGGATCTGTGAGAGCTACACATTGCTACCATCGTGACAAATATGAGAAACTTCACGAAACACACACCTTTTTGAAGTTCCTTGTTTGCCTCGCCATATTATGCAGGAAACATGGGAAATTAATGTGGCACAAGAGGGAGAAATGTTAGGTGAGTTTGTTAGATGGAACAATGAAGGTTGGTATGCATGATGCATTATTGAAGTGAATAAGTTGGTGTTGAGATAAATTTGAAAGGGAAGAAAAATGAAAGAAAAAACAAAGTACAAACGGAGTATTAAATGGTAAGCATATGTAGCACTCATAGCAGAGTTCAGCTTTGGGACAAGGAAGTTGAGAAGCTAAGAAGTACGCTAAAGTCTCATGTGTCAGAACTGCATGGATATTCGGACTGCTATATTTATTTTATACTCTATCAATTTATTTGTTTTTTTGTGACTTTTTTTTTAAAACAATGGTTCAATAATCATTTCCTCTTTATAGATTCATTAATTTATTTTATTTTAATCTTTATAGTAAACAATATGTTAATTTATTTTTTAGTTCTATAGTATATTATTATAAAAATTAAAAAATATTTTTATAACACTATAAAGATTAAAAAAAGCAAAAAATGTATATATAAAGATTAAGATAAAATATTTTTATTATAAAAACTAAAAAATAAAATTTAAAAAGTACAAAGACAGAAAGAGTATTAAACCCTTATCAATTTACTTACCACTTTGTATAAAATACATTAACATCTCGAATATATAAAATGTATTTAAAATTTTCTTCATTTGATTAAAGATATTACTAGAAAAAAAATATAAGAAAATTTATCATTATTCTAAGGATGGAAAGAACAAGCATACTATTTTTTTATTTGTATTTTTTTTTAATTCACGGAACAAGGATACTCTGATCCTCCTTCGATATATATTTTTTTTTACATTTGTTTTAATTTTTTATAAGACTATAATATTATAGTTTATTAATATAATTAGGCATGATAAAATTTATAAATGCCACCCACAATATTTTTAAGTTGGATAAGACCACTGTGATTAAGCCAAAATAATTCTGAATAAAAAATTCACTCTTATTCCGATTATTTATATTAGTGAGGTCGAAATACTTTGTACCTTTAACAAAAAGACAAAAAAAAATAATAAAAAAATCATTCCTGCCTTGCATTTGCATTGCATCCATGCATCCACGCATTATAGTTGCTATGGATCAAAGGGAATCATTAGGCCAAAACACTCACAAGAAGCTCAACAACCAAGTAAGAGCCAAAACCATATCAAAAGCCTAGCCCAACAAAGGCAATCCCAAGTGATTTTATGTGTCACCCAAGCAAAGACATGTCAACAATAGAGTGGAATCGACTAAACAAGCAAGTCTATAAGCATGAAGAGGCCATCATGCCTTACTTCTTAACCGAATGAAGGATGATCCAAGAGAACCAGGAAGGATAGATCCAAAAGGTCCATGAAACCCAAAACTAGGCCCAATAAGCTTAAAACCCATTGGGCCTTAGTATGGGCCTTAGTATAAAACTTTAGTACAAGACTTTAGTGAGCCTAGGGTTCTCTTTACTTTGGTGGGCCTAGGGTTCTCTTTACTTGGGCCTTAGTATGGGCCTTGGTGTTATTTTCTAATTAGAATTAAAAATTTATGCATATAATTAATGTAAACTTCTAATTCTAATAGAAAAGCATTATTAATTGAAAAACTATACTTAAATTTTAAATATAATTTAGTAGAATGAAAAAAAAAATTATTTTGCTTAAAAAAAATCTTGACAAATATATAGTCAGAACGGCCCGTTCCGGATTCAGAACGGGTCGTTCTGTTTTAATGAGTCATGTCTTATTTTTTAATCTGGAACGGGCCGTTCTGAATTCGGAACGGGCCGTTCTGGTCCATTTTTCATGCGTTTTTTTTCATATGGAACGGCCCGTTCTCATTCGTTGTCCATGTGTTATTATATCATCTGGAACGGCCCGTTCTGAATTCAGAACGGCCGTTCCGGACGTGTGTAGCTGTTCCTCCAGTTCCTCGTTTTTTATTTTTTGAGTAATTTTATAAAAAAAATATTTCAGTAGTATTATAAGTTATTAATTTAGATTAATTTTATGGTCAAAACTAATGGTTTACCATGCACCACTTGTTAAAGTGGTGTATGAGAGATATTACCTTTAAATAAACATGGACTATTATTTAAAAAGATACAATTAATGAGGGTTAAATAGCAAATATTAAAATATTGTTAAAAAAAATAAGTACTGACAAAATAGCCACATGTCATCTATTGTGTGGTCCTAGTTACAGAGGGTTTTGATGCCCCCTAAAATAAACTTGCACCAAAGGAAAACCCTTAAAAAAATGCCTACAAAAATTACTTATTTTTCTTAATGACGTGTAGCTATTACAGGAAAGTGACACGTGAGACTACAGAAGATCTCAAAAAAGCAACAAAGCGAAAACCTGATTCAAGAACTCTCTATCTCATCGATCATCATCCTAAACCACTCACAAGTCACAACACTAAACTTCCATCAATGGCAGACCAAAACAACCTCAATAGCAACGAGCAACAACATGACCTTAATCTCCCCAAAGTCCTCATTCACGGTCCACAAGGATTCTCCTCTGTTCTCCAACCACCCTTTTCCCAAAACTTTCACATTCTAAACCACTCTTCGCTTCCCCTACACCAATTCCTCGCCACCCACACCCACCACTGCTCCTCCGTCGCGGCCCTCCTCTGCGACGGCGGCTACCCCGTCACCGCCGACGTGCTCCGCCTCCTCCCCTCGCTTCGTCTCGTCGTCACCGCCAGCGCCGGCACCGAGCACGTTGACTTGGACGAGTCCCGCCGCCGTGGAGTCAGGGTCGCCGGCGCCGGAAACATGTTCTCCGAGGACGTCGCCGACTTGGCGGTGGCGCTCTTGATTGACGTCGTCATGAAGATTTCCGCCGCGGATCGGTGTCTCAGAAAACGGGTTCCGCTTGGTTCAACGGGTTTTCCACTTGCTTCTAAGGTTTGCATTGCATTTCATAATTTTGTTATCGTTTATCATCTTGCAAATAAAAGTTTTATCATACAAATGATCATTTTTATTTTGTTTAAATTTTATAACACTTTTTTATAATAAATATATTATATTATAGTTAAAATTTATAATTGTGGCATAAATGAGATTAAAAAGAAATAAATGGATAGTGTAAAATAAACATTTATAGATTATATAAATTATATTTTAAATTTATAATAAATTATTTATATTGTGATACAAAGTTATTTATAATAATTAATATTTTTAGAAAAAAGTATTAAAATTTATTTTAAATTTAAATATACAGATTAATAAA